ACGTACAACTTAGTAGTACCGGTACGTACCGGACGGTAGGTATCTTTTTGTTCGTTGGCTTCTACCGAAAATGCTTCGGCGCGTGCCCACATTCAAAATCCTTTCAGGAAGCATGTGCTACCGTACGGTAGATCGGGACCCATTGGTCGTGAAACCACATCCACGTGCCGTCTCAACGAGCAAAGGGGAACCGAAGAGAGTGGGACGGGCCGTGGGTCCGTTCTGTTCTCCATCGAACGAAACACCCGCAACCGAAGAACGATTTTGGCGGCCCGTCCGTGGCGTTCGTTTTAGTGTGTGTTGTCTTGTGTTGTCTTGTGTTGTCTTGTCTTGTCTTTTCCGATTGGTGTCGTGTGGATTGTCGATGCGGTGCCGTGTCCCCGCTTCGAACGAGCACGGTGGGGCGCCGCGGAATTCCCCATTCGTTGCTTGCGACTGAGAGAAGTTTCGTCCCGGGAACCATGGCCACAGCAATCGGCAACGCGTCGCATAACATCGCATCGCATCGCATCACTTCGCGTCGTTCTCGCCCTTTACGTCCTCCAGAGAAATCAGAACAAAACCCTCTTCCGATCCGGTTGCCGATCGACATTCCCTCGGCTGTGTCTGATCGGTGGAATTTCTTCCGGTGCCGATTCCACCCGCACAGCCGAGACCACAACAAAAGAGAACAAAACAAACGCAACCGAACGATGAACCGAAGGCCAAGCTCCGTCGCTGCTGGAAACGACAGCCAAACCGCCGGCAGAACGCGAGCTGCCGTGCATCTTGGGCACAACGGAAGGAACGCCGTGGTCCGACTGTACTGGTGCTGCTTGGCGCTCTGCGGCGCATCGGTTCTGTTGTACCACCAGGCACCGGTGGTTCCGAGGGACTCGGGCGACGAGCCCCGGCTCCGGACGATGCCGCGGGCCCGGCCCGGCCAGAACCACGCTCTCCCGCTGGACGGGCTGCACCAACAACGAAATCGGGACCGAAACCAGCGGCCGTTCAACGGAACCAGCCCCCGGGGGCCGCTGACCCCCTGCCCCGAAAATTCCCGCAGGCTGGTATGGTTCCTAAAGGGGCCCACGCACAAGCTGTACGAGCCCGTCTACCGGGCCTTCCACTCGAGGGGCTGGTCGGTCACGAGGGACCCCTCCAGGGCCCACGTCTTGTGGACGAACCAGCCTCCACCGCCCGGGCCGGCCTCCCTACCGGGGGGGATCCCCCCGAAGCCGTGGCAGAGGTACAACCAGCTGGCCCACACGCACCTGTGGGACGACAAGGATTCCCTGGCCGCAACCATGAAGCGCTACTTTGGAAACGACCGGACCGGGGACCCCGAGGCGAGGAGGGGACACGCCTTTCCGGAATCCTACCTCTTGCACACGCCCGGCGGCCGCGAGGCCTTTCGCCAGCGGCTCCGGGAAGAACACGGCGGCCTCGACCTTCCGTGGGTCCTGAAGGACCCCACCGTCAACGAGGGAAAGGGGGTGACCGTTCTGGCACCCCGCTCTCCGGAACTGGAAGGCCTGGTGGCCCGCCTCGAGCGAGAGGCAGAGCCGGCGAGCGGGGGCACTCCGAACGTTGACGGAGGGGGGGAAGAAAGCGACCGCCTGCTGGTGCAGAAATACATCTGCGACGAAATGACCTACGGGGACCGAAAGTTCGACGTCCGCGTCTTCTGGATGGTGGCCTCGGTAGACCCGCTCATTGTGTTCTACCACACCCAGCAGAACTACGTCCGGATCGGACACGCGGTCTACGACGAATCCAATTTCAGCAATTCCACCAGGGCCCACCTGACCACCCACACCTTTGGCTCGGCAGAGACCAAGGCCACCTGGGACGAATTCCGGGAGCTCGTCGAACGCCACGTTCTCGACCCGGGTTCGAGATTCCTCGGTCGGTTCGATGCGGGCAGCAGCAGCRACAACAACGRCGACAGCGAAAGRGCCCTRCTCCTGCCCACCATCGAGGCCATACGCAGGGATCCCTTCGGGCACGTCCAGAAMCAGATGAAAACGATCCTTGCCCACCTGGTGGATGCCTTTCGGAAYACCACCTTTCACGGGCAATCCACAGCCACCGAAAACGGGTTTTCCTGGCACGCCGCCGACATGATCATCGACAACAACCTCGACGTGTACATCATCGAGGGGACGGACGGGCCCGGGAAAGACGAGGACTACGACTTTCGCATCAAAATGCACGAAGAATTGCTAGGAAGCATGGTGGACATTCTGGAGGAAGTCGTGGACCGGCAGGAAGAAGGCCGGCCCCTGGACGTTGCCGAGATGAAAGAAAAAGGGATTCTCGGCGGGTACGAGGTGATCTACGACGATGGCCGGGCCTTCGACTACCGGCACACGCGGCTGCCCCACCCGGGGTGCGGACGCTCGCGGGAGAGGCCACCAAACCGGAAGGGAGGAGGGGGTGCGGCAACACCGGCTCCCCCGACGCGAACCGTGGCACCGGCAACTTTCAGGGCGCTCGCAGAGACGAACCACAAGGCAATCCCCCGGACCTTTTGGATGAAGAGCCGGACGAGGCGGCGGTGCGAACCCGCGGCACGGGCCCTCCGGAGAAACGGCTGGACCCCGGTGGACCGTCCCGAGGAAGCCCAGCTGGTCTACCTCTCGGGCGGCGACGACCTGGTCCTCCCGGGCAAGGAGCTCCCGTACGAGCCGGCAAGGTGGCAGCTCGTCAACGAGTTCCCGTCGCAGCACGAGTTTTTCGAGCGCGAGTACCTGAAGCACCTCGACGCGAGCACCGTGCTCTCCTACAAGGACAGCCGCGAACACGACGACGGCGGTGCGTGCCGGCCTGTTGTGCACCGGGGACGGCCGATCCGGGTCCACGCGTACTGGCTGGTTCTGTCCCTCAGCCCGCTGACCGTTCTGTACCGCGATGGGTACGTCGGCATGGACTACTCGGACCGCCACGAGGACGAGTTCCTCGCCCCGCAACCGAGGGGCCTAGACGGAARGGTCGAGGGGAAACGCGTTTGGGAGGGCTCGTGGACCGCCTTGGAGCACTACATCCACAAGGCCCGTGGGCTCSTCGTACCTCCCCCGCAGGGCGCAGCCCAAAACAGGAGTCCGTGGAAGAACGGGGCCGCGACGGTGGCGGTAGAAATTCGGTCGGACCCCGTCCTCCACGTGAAGAACCAGATGAAGCGGGCCCTGGTTTCCATCGCCGAGGGCTTTCGCGACCACGCCCGTGGGGAGAAGCCCGCGGGCTACAGGCCCTTTGCCCTGTTYCACGCCGACTTTGAGGTCGATCGCGACCTCAACGTCTTTTTCAGAGACGCGTACCATTCCTACGTGAGAGGCGAAGACCATTCCGAGGTGGTGGACCTGCACGCCGACCTGTACGGTTCGGCATTCCGAATGCTGGAACACCTCAACGCCACTTCGAACGGGACTTTGGATCTCCYGGGGGGAAAATCGMTGGGAAACTACGAATGGTTGATCCGCCCAAGCGGATTGCGGGACGGGCTCTCCCGTGCCGAGGCGGCCACGGGTGGGGTTGCAACGGAAGACAACCCCCGCGACCATGATGGCCTCTCGAAATTTACCTACGATTGGAACCAAAAGGCCAGAGAATGCTTCGCGTAGCAGGTTTCGAGGTCGCCCTGAAAAGATAGTCATGGGTGGACGCCCATTTCCGAAACTGGAAGAGTGCTGTTCGAATTCCTGGGAGATTCCAAGGCGTGCGTTTGGATACGAGAGCAAATCGTTTTTGCAAGAATTGCGGAGCGCATGATTGTTGTAAAATAGCTTTTTCCTATAGATTATGAAAACCGTGTCAATTATTCAAATCTTTTGGTTGGAATTTCTACTTTGCCATCTGTTCTGACACCTTTTTGGTCTGACACATCGGTTTATTGTTCGCGAAATACTGTATGAAGTAGTTCGTTACTTTGGAACGAAGGAAAATCAGCATATATTCGCCATCACTGTGTATTCCATTAGAGGATGCTATCTTCCCCGATCTGTTCAATGAATCCTCCCCATCGTTCATCGTTTGCGCTCTCTTTTTTCTTGACAACAGACAGTGTGATCAGGGGCGTTTTGTCGTATCCGTCTTGGATTTGGTACGTGGCAGATTCCGGTACGCATTTCCCTTTCAGAATGCAACTCCAAACGGCGAATCCAAATACAGAGATAGTGCAACTCGTTTCGGAAACGGCCACGCTCATGGCAGCTACGGGTTGCCCACGCAATCCCTCGATCGACAGAGTGACCGCCAGGGCATCGGAGGATTCCTCCCACAAGCATCCCTCGTCGTTCACGCTTTCGATCCGCGATGTGCTTTCGTAGCCACTCGTCATGACCTTAAAGTCACCGAAAAGTTCGCTCGGGATTGGTTTTTCCAGGTCTTCCATYGTCAAACCGAGATCACTCACGTCGATGCTCGTCGCGGGGGYGTTGTCATCGGCGCTGCTCCTGTGGGCGGTGTTGGTCTGAATGTTGCCGTGCTTCGAGACAGGAGCCACAAAGGCAATGATCGAGCCGAACTGGAGCGACGAAATTAGGATTGCGAAAAAAAAATTCATCGGCGACTGCTCTTAATTTTTCTATGGGATTTTATTGAAACTCTTTTTCAACAACAATCGTGGGTCGTCTGCTAAACTAAACACAACAGACAAGATGATAGTTGTGATTGTTGATCGGCCTGTTTCTGAATGTTGAAACTACTGTAGAGCACGGCCTCTCTATCACGAAACACGTAAGGGTCATACCGTGCGGGGCGGGAGTAGTACAAGGACACTAGTACTGTACGTACTCATTAGTACTCATACATGCGGTCGGGATTTCTGTCTCGGGTTTTGATGAAAGCTGACTGAGTCACACTCCAAATCGTCGAGTTGCTCGATTTTTTGTCTTGGGTAATCTCGTACCGGTACGGGTTTAACAACGGTTCTGTCTGTAAGGCGTGGGGACCCTACAAGGTTCTACAAAGAAAAAATTATTAAACGCAACCTGCTCTCACCAAACAAATCCACCTCAACATGACCATGGTGGCGGGAATGACAATATCTCCACAACCAAAGCATTCTAAGAAAAACCAAGGGTACCGATGTGAAGCACTCACTCTTCTTAGCACAGTACTTCCTACCCCAAGCACTGCCAGCAGTAACCATTCAAACAATTCACCCTACTACTACTACTACTAAACCTTTGTGGGAGTGACTGGTATGATCCTAGTAGTACTACTAATACTACTAGTAGTGATGTAAAATGTATGCTAGAAGAAAAGTGAGTCGATGCTCTTATCGAGGATCCACAAACTAGTATGAAACCTAGAATTGATCAGTGTGAGGATCGAGTGATGTGTGAATCAAATGAGTCGAGTCACCACTCGCGCAAGTTAATGAAATGAGTCATCTCGATCGTATGGATGATCAATGTGTGACGTGATTGTGTGAGGATTCATATATGTATGGTGTGTATGAATCGTATATACTTGTCATATGTATRTGTTGTATATATGAGACATATCCACAGTCTGATATCCTACGGACAGCAACCTTCTTACATTCCTCCTCCTGACGAGGAGGCATTGCGACTACTGGGCCACGGGAATAATAACTGTTATCACTAAGCAATAGGTCCGGCAAAAGAAGAGGTTTGATAATATGGGTGATAATTTATTCAGATAGATAAAACATGCATGGTTACTACCTATTTCCTAAAACACATTCCTAATAATTTGTGCTTCCTTTTGCGAATTGAAAATGAATCATGATAGTAGTAAAAAATACAACAATGCTTGTTGGTTCAAAATGAGAAACAAAGAAGGTTGTGACTCAACAACAAATATAAGTGGGTGGGACCCCTAATGACTGGGATTTGTAGTTGGAAAAATAAAAACACGATCAAAAAATAGATTTGGAAAGAGAGGGAACTGCAAGATGCAGACAAACAAGAAAAAGAAGTGGTGCACTATTTGTGGAAGATGAAAAAATAAACTTGTTGTGTGTAAAGAAGGTTGGTTCAGATTCAAACCTTGTGCTGAAAAAAATAATAAACCAAAAGGGTACTACTTGCTTGTGCGATGCAAGCTCAATGTGTACTTTGACCATAAAAATTGGGTTGTGATAGGGCGTGCAATTACTTTTTGTTACGTCTTTAACAATATTGGGAATGACCCATTAGTATTGCTACACTACTTACTTTGTAATTACTAAAAGTAACACCCTGTCCTCTGATTTTAGTGGCACATGCTGTCCCTATCTAAAAGAAATTCCAGGCTTTTTCTTTTTAGAAAGGGATAAAGGAATCTTCCTATAGTAGCAAAATTCAGCAACTCACTTGCTGAGGAGGAGGACGAGAGGAGGAGAGGGGTGCGAGTTGTGTAATCCAATGCTTGCAAGGTTGAGAAGAGTGGAGGAGACCATGTGTTTCTGTTTTGTTGCTGCTTTTGGGGGCACTATGATCCTCCTTGTCCTCCTCCAGAAGACCACTGTCATGTTTCCTTTGGTGAAAACACCAGCTAGTACCACYGTGCCTGGGACCCTCTACTGTTGGAATCTCATTCTAGTAGTTTGGCTAGTACAAGGATTCCTAGATGATACTCTTCTGATTGCAGGTCCTTTTTGGAGACTAATAATTCTGATATTGAAGTTAGTGGTTGCTCAGCTGGTTCTTCAAGAAGAGCAAGGTATCCACCACCACAATATTTTCCTCATAGTAAAAATTGTACCTTTTAGGTCAGTACCCTCAATATTCATGGGGGTGCAGTTTCTGGCAAGGAAGAAGTCTGCAAACTAGTAATTCTAGCTCATTTTTTGCATATTGTGGTCCCTACTGTAGTGAGTACTGGTGTGTTCTGGGAGTAGCAAAAAATAGAGTACTGGAAGAGTGCTGGAATTTGCACTTGAAAATAGATACTAATTGTAGTAGGTACAAACATACATATGATACAATTGGATACAGATTTTACACTGWACCATATGTACAGTACCATCTGGTGGTACCAGAGTACCACTGATAATTTTGTCTGTTGAGCCAGTTTCAAACCCTCATTTTTTCCGATTATTTTGGTCTCCAACACGTGCTTGACTGTGCAAAAATTGGATTACTAGTACCGTAATGAAGCTGGGATAAAGATTTTAGAATATCATTATTTACTACTACTTCCAATTTACCAACTATTACTAGTAGTATGTGTATCTAATTTAAGATGCATATGCAAGATTAGCACCACCATTAAACAGCAACAACTTCTTCAATCTTGACAAATAAATTTTGTCATTCCTCTTGGTGTTGTTCTTGTTGTTCTTCTCCTTCTTCTTCTTGGACCTTGGTGCTTGTTCAGTTGTTGTCTTCATCCTCATCACACCAGCAGTAAGCATCAACGTCGTCTCCACCTTTACAACAAGCTATCTCAATCTCTGCCAAAGCAACCTGCTCCTCAAAACACTCCCAGTGTTGAGATGCAAATAATGGTTTTCCAGCATACTCTGGTGGATTCAAGCAGGAGCACCTTGCTGAGAGGAGTCTAGTAGTACTAGGAGCTTGTTGACTGAAGATACACACTTCTGTCTGATTGGGCTGCTGAAGTGACAGGTTACACAGCAGAAAGATAGATCATGGCTAGTAGCAGCCTTGCAAGGCTTGGGAAATTTTCCTGTTGCACTTCTTTCAACCACTGGAGTGGATCATTGTAACAAACTCTCTTACTATCTTGGATTTCTTGGTGAAGGAAAAGCACTCAGAAGAAATTTTAAGTTCAAGTTTCACACTTACAACAACAAGCATGATCAATATTGACCCCCCTCTTCACCATTCTTACCACAACACCTCCTTGGAGGGAGGAGCCACCCCTTGGAGCAGCTAGGAGCACAATTCTTCTCTCCAAAATTTCTGTTTCTGGCCAACATAGTAGTGCCTCTTCTAGTCCACATGGTTAAATATAATATTAAGATTTTTTGATAGAGTACCAAGAAAAATACATGAATCTTCTTGCACTGAGAAACACTAGTTATTTTTGTTTTCAATCCACCAGCACCTCACTGGAGTACAGTTGAGCTTGACCTCATCCTTACCAGTTTGATTACTGGCAGTAATCTATGTTAAGTCTTGCTGGTCTTGCTGTGCATATGACTGCAAAGAATTTCCTTCTCTCACRTAACATGAGCTTTCCAGAATAAAATTCAGAATATGTACAGCAGAATACACATATGGTGATATGACGAGTAGTGGCTTGCTGATTACTAGTATATCACATCTTCTATATCCAATGCCTGCACACAYTTTACTTTGCATTATGATTTTCCTCATGCTTGTTGAATTCTACTAGTACTAGTACYGATACAATTGTTGTAGTACTATTGCTAGTAGCACTTCTTGTTGTTCTCCTCTCTCTGTCCCATATCTGCCCGCAATGATATTTCTTCTAGCTAGCCATATTATTTTTGTATTACTATTGGTACTAGTAGCAGTACTGGTAGTAGCGTGAGGACTACTACTAGTACTTAGGTGTGTCAGCATAAGGTGTGTCAAATTTTTGCTAGTACTAGTACCGGTAGCTTCGTCTTTTTATCAGCTAATGTTATTCTACTAGTAAAAACAACTCAGTACTTCTTGTTTTACTAGTACTTTGTGATGCTGGGGGATGCTCTCCTCTGGGTGCTGGTGCAAAAAACTACTCTGAATTGCGTAGTATCATTACGATTTGTAGTATCCAACATACACAGTCTAGTTGATTTCTGTAATGAGAAGTTGGATAGTTGTTTTAAGTATCATGATGTCAACTTACTTCATATTTTTGATTCACCATAGCAAATATAATTTAATATCAACAGAGCAGAATTCAAGACTGCTGATTTTTGAGCTTTTCTGTGCTCGTTTCTATCCTATACTCCATAAATAGTCGTTGGCTTTGGCTTAATGCTTCCGTCGTTCATCTTCGAGACCTTCATGCTGTAACAACTTCGTGTGCTGAATACGTATTCRATAGTACACTTGGGAAAAGGATCTGAATTCACTTTACAGTATCATYATTTGAGTTGAAAGCGCAAAGAAAGGTGCATCGATTACCTTGGTACACTGTTTCTTCAACATTGGTAGAAATAGGGGTCGGTTCGGTTGGAGCAAGAGATCGAAGCTTTTGGGCCATCCGTGTCGCTTTGCGACGCTTTCGAATGCCCGTTAACAGTTGGGTGATTTTGTGGCGGAGCACGTCATCATCGACAATTTCTGTGTACCATAAATTCTTCTTATCGTATTCCATGTAGACAAAATTTCTCAAACGACCTTCTTCGATGATATAATCATTGTACCTATCGCCCTTGAGGAATCTCTTCGGGTGGAGTTCGCGTTCCAGCTCTTTTTCTTCGATAAGATCTCGAAACTCAATGTTGCCGGGATGATCCCAAGCCATTGCCTTGTTGCCAAAAAGTATGCAATTCACTTCGGGACATTCGACGCCACAAACTTCTTCTATCGATTCTTCATTCTTTCCTTCCAAGCCAGCTGCCTCATTGTCGGTTTTCTTTCGAAAGTTGTCGATTGCAGTCCTAACCTTCGCAAATCGAGCCCAGTTCTTGGTCTTGACCATGAATGTATATGTTCGTGGGATGTCTTTGACATTGATTCCATAGCTAGAAAGTACGTAATCTACTTCAACCGGGGAACCGGTGTGGACCCGACACACTCTTCGCCCCTCCGGTCCAATGAGCATCAGACACAGCGAGCGACAGAGGTTAAATACGGGTGAGTTTGGTATGCAGAAATGTAACGCGGAGTATCTCACCGGTATTGTGGTTATAATTTGGTTCATTTTTTTGGCAGAATTCTTTGCCATGCTTGGTTCTTCGAACGTTGGGAAGACCAAAACTACGGCTCCCTTCACTTGCGTGGTAACATCCTCGGCAAGAATTGTCCACAGCAAAAACACTAAAAGTCGGAAGGCAGAAKAGTATTCTTCGTAGGTACTCGCATCGTGTCTTCCRATAAAGACAAATACCCTTCTCCCGATTCGGTCGCGGGAAGGCAGTACCTGACAATTGCCATCACGAAAGTATTTCAGCTCGAGAGCGGTAAGGTCACTCATGTACAGCTGTCTTCGAAAGATTTTTTCGCCGAAGCATTTGAGCAGTAGATCGAGACACTCGCAATACCGGATGGCGGCTTTTCGGGCATCAAATCGATCAGCTCGAAGAAACTTCAGCCGATATTCTTCGGTGCGTATAAAGTCACTCTTTAACTCGAGGCCTCTTCGATATGCATGATACCTGCGATTGCCTCTGCGTCTGTTGTGGGCTTCATCTTCGTCATTCATCGGTGATATAGAACACGGAGGAACGAGTTCATCAAGAATATTTTGCATGTCACGAAGAGCAAGAGCCGTCATTTCCGGGCATTCTTTTGTGGTCTCGTTCAGGTTTCTRATATTGTTTTCGCTATAACCCCCCCATCGCCCGAATTCAACGCCGTGAAGCTCGTTGATAGCGGCTTCCCGTTCTTCCGGTTTCATTTCGTACATTTCTCGTTCCAATATTTTCTCCATGATATTGGGATCTTCCAGAGCTATATCGAGAGCTTCGTCGGACAAACCTTCCGACGCAGAATATGAAGCAGAGGACACTGTTGTCGACATGGTAGATCGGCGAGTGATCTGCATGTCTTTCTCATTCACAATGTCTTCGCCTTCATCGTTGCTGCTATCGTCCATATTAGGAAACACGTACGTGTCAACTTCAATGTCAGAATAAATCATTTTGTTATCATCAACAATATTGGTGTTCGCACCAGCGTAATTCGTGCTTAGATTAAAAATCTCTKCAACCTCCATTTTGCTATCACTCGAGCGAGATGTTTGCGCCGTCTTTTCTTTTGTCTCACTACTGTAATTTGATTTCTAATAAGTTTGTCGGAGAAATGTCAGTGAACAATTGATGGGATTCTCTTTATACGCCTTGCACCCCTTTSGTATTACGATCTTGAGCTGTCGAATGAAAGCGATGGCTGATGGAAGTTCGAGGCCAGTGTCAACTTATTGAAATAAAGGGCCTCATTGTTGTATCATCGGAGTCACTCGCTGTTTGGTCTGTTTTGTTCTGCAAACAGTATGGCTTGTGGAGTATATTAATTACAATAAMGTATGTCGTTATTATCGCGGGACATATTGTTCGATCTCAAACTTATGTATTAATTTCCTTAAGACAATTACTTAACGCAGCTCTACTTTATAAACATTAGTAGCTTCGATTAATTTCGCTTTTTAGAATGTACCAATACTTTAGAAGCATTTTCTTAATTAAGAGTCTCCCCATAGAGGCAACCCTCGCCTTATCTTTTACGTCAAAAGGTCCTGTATGAAATGGAATTTATCAATAAATACTCGAATGAAAAGCATGGACTATCGTCGAAATAGAACCTCAAATTACTGAAGTCATTTCACGAAGACGAAATTGACTCACCAATGAAAATTTTCCACGTGTGACAACAATTACGAAACGGAATCATCAATCTGAAAAATAAGCCCATCAAATAAAAATATATTCATAGATCCTCCTTTTCTTTTTARAAAATACCATTTTCATGCTGTATTGAGTGATTCCTGTAAACATAGAATCTATGATGACATACTTTACAAATTTGTGTRTGCAGGATTAAGTATGTAAACCCACATACTAGAATCTAAGATATTAAATTATGACGCGCTACATCATCATGCTGCCGTGCTGCTTAATTTTGGAATATGGTATTTTGCTTGAAATCAACAGAAAATAACTGCATTCTTGCAAAATATTGAGAACTCATGGCGCCAGCAAGAGCGCCAAAACAATGAGTATTGAGAACACATGGTGCCAKTGACGAGTGTGMTAAAACAAATCCAAAATGCCAGCAGGTGAACCACGTGAAGTTCACTATCCTCCGCAGTATTTGTATGTGGTGGTAATTCTTATCTAATAGCTAGCATCCTCAACAAAAYGACACCAATGCCAAGGAAGAACCCCTGATGGAATCATGTCAACAGGAATAAAAAAGTTGAGAACCCTGAGAACACCAAGAATCCCCCTTCCCCAGGGGAGGAGGAGGAGGAACTGCTTGTTGGAACGCAGCAAAAGAACACATGTAGTAGTTTGAGGTTGATTCCAGCATCGATTCCAGACACAAAAAACAACATCAATTTCCCAACAACAACAAGATGATTTTAACAAGACAGCAGCAGTGCCAGGCAGAGGAGGCAGGAGGACTGCTGCTGGTGGTATAGTCAACTACACCACTCAGGAAACAATTGACCACTTGATCATGTATGTCATCTTGGCAAGGCTTCCTATTGGGAGTGATCAGTGGCATGAAGTGGAAGTGACTCATACTCAGAACTATCCTGGTGTCAATAGAGATGAAGGAAGTATTCAACCCTTCATAGGAAGAGCGTCCCTAGTAACTGTCCTTTGGCAGAAAGACTTGCCAAGAGGGCCAAGTATTTGATTGACTTGAAGGCAGATATTGAAGAYGGAGAGGAGCACTTTGATATTGAAGAAGGATATATCCATTCTCAGGGTCACAATGGTGATCCTGAGGGTAATCATCATCATAATGCTGGGAACAATGGCAACAACAACAACAACAACAACAACAACAGCAGCAGCAGCAGCAGCAGCAGCAGCAATGTTAGTCTTCACAGGAACAATGGCAACAACAATAATGGCAACAAAAAACAATGCCAATTCGGACAACGAGGAAAGACATGCCTCTGCTGCCACCACCAGTCCATCCAGAAGCTTCCTGGCAAGAAACAGAAGATTCAAAACTTACTCAGCAGGAAGATACTYRGGARACTTGTACCAATAATGGTAGCACAGCTCTTGCACAAGAGCTGTTACACTCATGAGAGGAGCACCYGGAGTCCAATCTTACAACACTGCCAAAGCAAAGGAGTGTRACATTGTGAGATCCTTGCAGATGTGTGTTGCACAGTGCTTCTGTGAGAGCCAGGGAAGAGAGGAAGGAAGCTTACCAGCAGATTGGCAGTGCTCTTGGATCCCTTGTCACCATTGCAATGCATCACTTCAGTCTAAAAGCCCTCAACAAGCGCCACTGCAAGCAACAGGACTATGATTCTTCATCCTTCTCATCAGATTCTGATTAACAAGCATCCATCTGGATTCCATTGTTGCTTTTGCATTTAACTACCATGAYCATGCTGCCACCACAACAGCAATTCTTCTTCATTAAGCCCCACCACCATCACTGTCACTTTTACATTTAACTTCATTTAATTTATCTTATTAATTACTACAGTAATTCACATCTTTCATTTGATTTGCACTGACTGCTGGATTATGGAAGKGCAAGCAGATTAAATAATATATGAGTTCTCCTACTTGTCATGTGCGTTAGCTCATGTTGTTCCTCTTTACTGTTTCTACACAGTCTTYGTTGTACAATGCGTGAGAAATACTCCAACAAGCATTGCTTTGATTAATTATATACAGTCTGAATATTTCTTATTGATTTCAATGTATCACCTAMTCACTACAACATGAATATCTCTTATGATAATTTCCATATCCAATATTTATATTTCTAGTAACATCTTAATGCTTCAACGCTTCAATGGACCATGTTCAATGCCTCAATGGGCCATGTGAAAAGATGAATTTTATGAATGTTGGRTATGTTCTTGCTGCTGGAATGTATCCTATTGATGTTGCGTGCTCTATTCTTTTTGTTGCTGGGATGTGTCAATGTTGCATCTGTTGTTGCTACTGGGATGTACTATCGTTATATCATTGTTGCGGTTATCAGCTATCTCACCAAAACAAGTTGTTTACATYCGCATTTAGGGTTGTCAGATGGGAGAAGAATCCCTTCTTGTGTTTTTCATTGGGCATGAACACATTAAGGATTGGATTGATGCCTACAGTGCTGGCACCAACAAGATGGCTGTGTTCATGAGAATCTTCCTTTCACCTTGCTCCTCAACTTCTGATCCTGTCCTTCAGCCTTGGAAACTGTTCTTGTATCATCCTCATTCCCCACTCAGACAGCAGTCTCRGTGAGGTAGCTTGTCGGTTGACTGCTAATGCAAGTTTTGCAGCAGCGTTGTTGTTGTTTAAGATGTTGTTGCTGGCAAGGAGATCTGGATCCTTTTGCGAGCTTCTAACRAGATATGGCTTGCCAGCCAGGGTGAATCCTGAACCAACCACCACAACCTTTGCTCTGTTCAAGTCATACATCTCCTCCATCCTCCTATAGACTCYATAGTCAGAAATTGTGCTGTCATGCATAGCTCCAGAACAGTTGAAGATGCAAGCTCAAATTTTGCCATCTGGAGCAAAGATGAAGACGCTACCAACATACATAKCACATGTCCATCCATTGTAGAACATGTTCTGTACTGCCCAGTTTGAAGATTTCTGCAATCCAAGTTTCAGCCCATTAGCAGCATCCCAGACTSTTGCTTTGCTGTCAAAGGATTGGGTATTTTTCACCAATAGCAGCAACATTAGCATCAATATCCTCTCTGACAGGAGCCCTGACTCTTGCATCTGGATGGTCTTGCAAGACAAAGGAGAGGAGAACACACCTGGAGAACTTTATCCACCTTACAGCATTACTGTCAATGTAAGCCCAAATGTCATGGATAGCCCTCTTGCTACTACTGATCCACGAGTCCTGACAAACCAGTGCAGTGTTAACCCAAGGCAGCACATGGCATTTGCTTCCCTATGTTGACCCTTTGGCATTCCATTCCTATGGTGGAAGCTTCTCATTAAAATCCGGCCCATTGCTTCATCAATCATGTACATGTTGAATACTGACACATAGAGTTTCATGAGACCTCTGAAKACAGTGTGATCTACTACACCACAACAGTTTAGAAGGGCCTGTTCATTGCCAAAACTAAACAAGTGGAGGAATGGTGACTGGTTGTACCTCCTGATTGCAATCCTTTGGGTTCTCCTATCCCTTCTGCCCCTATCCTCTGGACATAAATCATCTTTGTCAAGCTCAAAGTGGAGAGCTACACAAAGGATGATGAATTCTAGTGACATGTTGAGAGTGTCAATGGTCCTTTCATGGCCTTGTTTTTTGTCAGCACACACTGAGGTGCATTTGGTGCTGCTACAGCTATATGTTGCAGTTTTTAGATTGCTCCCCTGGCTCTTGCTGGTGGCACTTTAGATTTGTTTTGGTGCACTTTGTGGCACTTTAGAGGGCTCCCCTGGCTCCTTTTGAGAACAGTGTTGATACTTTAGATATGTTTTGGAGCACCATTTTTGGCTCCCCCTGCTCATGACTTGAGAGAAAATTGAGTCCACAATTCCAAAGAAAGTATGTGTTTGCATACATGCTTTTGGCACACGTGTGCCTCGTGAACAAAAAATCTATGGATTTGTGCTTCAAATAAATATTTTATGCAGTGCACGACTGAAATCTAATTCAATTTTCATAGAATYTGCTACATCAAATCAATGATGACGACTTTCGAACTACAAAATTTTCTATAAGTTCTAAAATACCAAGCTTTCCTCACTGTCGTAGCCATCGTCGCCATCCTTGTCTTCTGAATACTGATGCTGTTCTGCGACATTCTCTTCAGCTGGAGTCGATGGGGCGTCGTCTTGAGTATTGTTGTCGACAACCGAATCCTTTCCCTCAACGATGGTCTCTTTCGACTGCGACGGTGCATCGGTGGCTATGGGTAAAGAGACTGTAGGTTTGGAGGACTCGACTCCGCCTTTTGGATTTTTGAAGTCGATCATGTTCAGCTCGTATTCTTTGCTAGTGGCATCGTTCAACATCGATGGGGGGGGAGCTTCGAGTGGGGATATCGATTGCGATATTTTTTGCACCGCTGTTTTGCTAATGTTACAATGGATGGACAAGCCTGTCTTTTTCTTTGCCAATCTTTCTATGGASTCGTACTCCGATTGGGTCACAGTATCAGGAWATTTTCTTTGTTGCAGGTCAAACAGTGTATGCGCCATCAAAGTCATGCATTCGGACTTGCGAACTTTTTTCCTTTTCTTGACGATTCTGCCCTTCCTTATTGGTGGCTCTTTGACTTTTCTCGGTATTGAATTCAGGGAMGTGTTTATTTTCTCGTCCTTCACAATACTATTCTTCTTTCCCGATGGCTCCTTGACTTCTCTCGGCGTCGAATTCAAGGCTGTGTTGCCAATATTGTCCTCCTCATCGCTCTCGCCCACCAAGTCGATCAGTTCTGTAATAGTGRCGGGTGGTGCTATGACTCGATTTGTCTCGGTTGTGGGTTGAGTTATTTCCACGCGCGACAAGATCATTTTGGTGAGCCCGACCGCTCTGGTATCGGAAATCCTTCCCCATATCCCCTTTTCTCGATCCAGCTTCAGAAATCTACCGTCTTGACCCTTGATTGCAGCCACTATAGAGTGACATATCCGAATCCTTTTTTCTTCCGTAGTACTCGTATGGAATCTCTTCTTGTTGCACCTGATCAGAGATCGATACATCTGATTGCCGAGGTACTTCTGGGCTTCTCCCCCCGTTTCGATACCGAATACGACATCCGTCTCACAAGGCCTTTCAACTACCATTGTTCCAGCCAAGGCATTTTGATTTCCATTCTGCTGCTGCTGCTGCTGCTGCTGCTGCTGCTGCTGATTTTGTTGTTGTTGTTGTTGTTGTTGTTGCTGCTGCTGCTGTTGCTGTTGCTGATGTTGTTGTTGCTTTTGAAGTTTGGTCGGTTCCTTCTCGCTAACACACCGTCTGAGTTTTTCTAGCGACTCCCGGAGAGCGCCCAAGGTCCTGATTTCTGCGTCTTCCTTCGAGATCTCTTTCCACTCAGTCATAWCAGATTTGGTCGATTCGTCGCTAGGTGAGGGTTGGTACGAACCAATTTTCACGAGGAATCGTGCGTTGGGTTCAGATTTGACAGTGATTACAATTGAACGGCTGAGCTCCGCCAGTTTCGACTCATCCCAATCGAGAACAATCTGATCCTGCAACGAATGCACGAGAATCTTGCGAAACCTAACGTTTCCCGGGTGTTCGTTATACCCTTTTGCCCAGAGGATATCCTCCSGTSCTGGAATGGTCGGAGGGGTTGTTGACTTCATTTCGACAAAAAATGTGCCACTGCTTACTAAATCGAGGAAGGACCCTGGTTTTGGATTTTTGCAAAAACCTTTACCCCTATTGAATAATAACTTCATCAAACCCATGATCCACGTAACCGCTTCTACATTTCCAACGTCGTGCCAAAGGGACTCCATGACGGTGCCGTTCTCTAATTTGAAGGGCCGCTTTTGTAGGAACCGCCCATTGTGATCACGAATCGTTGATACGATATTTTGGCTCATGTCTTTGAGACGTGTGTAATCCAGACACGATGAAGGGAGGAGTTCCTTCTTTTCCAATAATATTTTCCGAAACTTRTAATTCCCAACGCTACTGCTCCACTTGCCGGAAGAGGCGTCCGAAACGAAGACATCCCATTCTGTGAAATCATGATTTTTTATTGGCCAGGGATCTTCCTGTCGTCTCTGTTCATCGTCCAATGTTGTCGTCGACGGTTGTTTTTGCCGCTGCGGTTGTTGTACTCCCTGATGATTTTKCTTGTGTTCCATCAGTTGTTGTTTCTTAATGAGATCGTCAACAGCCTTCTGTTCCCGCTCTCGCATGCGAAACTTCATCAATTGCTCCATCGCTGACAGCTTTTCAATGTTGTTGATTTCTTGGTCTATTTTCCTGGCCATAAAAACGTTCGATACGGCCTGTCTCGTGCGGAGGCGCTCGGTCCCTTGCAGGACTGATGAGCTTGCTTGATTGAGCGTCGAGAGGAAGTTCGTACCGCTGCCCGTCTGCATGGCCGAAGGCATCATCATMTTCTGTCGCATTCGGATCATTATTTCGTTTTCCAGAATTTTCTGCTCCTGCTTCAGTTGCAGGTGGTGTGCAACCACGGACCGTTTCTGTTCTTCCGCAACCGCGGCGAGAATATTGGAATTGGCAGCATCGTTGCCATTGACATTGATGCTGCCACCAAGATTCGTGCCCGAGAGTAGGGACGCCGTCCGAATCATTGCTTCTGCGGGGGATATTTCGGAATAAGTCCACATCCCCAGCATAGGTTCTTTTAGAAACCGACCATTCCTTTCTTGTATGGCCCTGGTAATCGATTCCRCAATGGTGCGCTTCATGACAGGATCATSGTTGACCCTGTATCTAGCCTGAAAGTTCCGGATCATCTTGTCAAAGACAATGTTTCCGGGGTGGTTCAGTTGGACCCCTCCATTGGCACTAAAAATGACRTCTACATTTCGGGCGTTCATTTGATTGTTACTCAGTGAAAGGTTGTGAAAGTATTCGGCATTGTTATGATGGGCCATCATTGTGGTCTGATTTAGGCTCACAGTGTTCCGTTACAGGCTCGGACTGCCATGAAGCACAATAAACCGCACGGCCGGCTTGATTWCCTGTGTTATCGTCTCGTTTCTTGTGACTTGCTGTAGATTTAAGCTGGTATTGTGTTGTCTTTCGACTTCGTTCTGTTTTTTTGGGGTTGTTGCTTTGTTCTAGCTTGTCTAGATTGTACGGGTGGGAGTACGTACCAGGTACTCGTACCTGTTCCGTTCCAGTACGAGGTAGGAAGGCAAATGTGTGGACCGAATGTGTACGCACGTKTTCCGAGTGCTACGGCCTCTCCCCAGAGAGCAAAAAGACCAAACGAAAGAACAACCAGAAAATGGGAACAAGCAACGGAACTCGAGAGATACCGGTAGATTACCTTGCAAAGAACAAAGATGTCACTACCGTAGTTCCGAGTATAAATAACCACGTGCAGCCTAGTTGTAGAATGGAAATGACTCAATGGCAATTCATGATTGAAAGGCCTGATTCATGATTGAATGACCTTGGGAGCAACAGCTCAGTAGAACCTTGTACCGGTACATGATGTACAAGCAAAAGTT